GAAGCTAATGCTAAAGCGCTATGCTAATTTAGTATACAGCAGAAGCAAATGCTAAAGCGCTACGCTAATTTAATATTCAGCAGAAGCTAATGCTAAAGCGCTACACCATCGTTGTATTTAAGAGACGTTAAGTTAAAATGTCAAATAATCTGATAGTTTACAAAACAGCCAAATAAATGAGTGTTTAAGACATTATCGGGATAAATTAGTTTAGGAGACGTGCGCTAACAGGTAGCCAAAATACTGAATACTGACAAGATCGCTGCTTCCTGCTCCGAACTCATCAGACGGTTGGCCATGTTTGTTTCTCTTGAGCTACTTTTGACACAGATTGAGTTTAAATTGAGTGTTTTGATGCTTCGCCCTGATCCTGGCAGCAGCTGCATGAATCCCTAAAGCTGGAGGGAGGCTTTGACTTAATAACACTAAGGGGAGAAGAGGGTTTTATGCTAATGATGGTCTAAATTCATCTCCTGCTTTGTGTTGACACACAAAAACAGACAGACAGAAACCCAGCGGTGTGGCTAAACCTGGAGCTGCACAAAGATGGCAGCGCATGGTTTACTCACTCTTTCTATAGAGGTGTGTGTGTGTGTTTGTGTGTGCGTGCGTGTGTGTGCGTGCGTGTGCGTGTGTGTGTGTGTGTGCGTGTGTGTGTGTGCGTGTGCGTGCGTGTGCGTGTGTGTGTGTGTGTGTGTTTTGAATAGTCCTTACCACAGCACTCAGCTCACTTCCCCATTGAAAAGGAGCCCGGTTCCAGTCAACAGGCCGTTCTATTAGGATGATTATCTCCTCCTGCCCCATGGGAACCTTCCAGACTGCAGCTTCTCGTTAATTAATCTTTGACTAGGCGAGTTCATAAACATGTTAAAGCAAAGGACACTCAGGCTGGAGGGGAGCCACTTCATTTTTGCATAATTATCAGCATTTCACACAGTTTTTCTCAGCAGTTTGTTGACCTTCAATGACTTTTTCTCCTTCCAAGTTATTTTTTTGTACAATATTGAGGTGAAACGCTCACATTCTTTCTAATATGCAAATTCAGACATTTCTTAAATTCAACAAGTTAAAAGAGCAAAAAGACTTTAAAAAATCACCATCTCATAAACCTCCTTATTAACTACTTTAATAAAATAAATAAATGCATCTGAATCTCTTTGCTCCAAAGATATTTTGGACCATTGGTACCAAATGTACCAACTTGCTATTTAGCTGAAGCTAATGCTAAAGTGCTAAATCGAATACATCAAGTTTATCTGTGTAGCACATTACAGTAGCAAAGTGCTTCAAGGTGCTTCACAAAATAAAAACAGAAAATCACAAAAAGAAACTCCATTCAGTCAACAACCATGTTGACTTTCCACCAGAACCCGATCATCACTGGAAATCAATCGCTAGCTGAGCATCATGATGCTAGCTGAGCTGAGCATCATGATGCTAGCTGAGCTGAGCATCATGATGCTAGCTGAGCTGAGCATCATGATGCTAGCTGAGCTGAGCATCATGATGCTAGCTGAGCTGAGCATCATGATGCTAGCTGAGCTGAGCATCATGATGCTGGCTGAGCTGTGCATCATGATGCTAGCTGAGCTGTGCATCATGATGCAAGCTGAGCAGATGCTAGCATCATGATGCTAGCTGAGCTGAGCATCATGAAGCTAGCTGTGCATCATGATGCTAGCTGAGCAGATGCTAGCATCATGATGCTAGCTGAGCTGTGCATCATGATGCAAGCTGAGCAGATGCTAGCATCATGATGCTAGCTGAGCTGAGCATCATGAAGCTAGCTGTGCATCATGATGCTAGCTGAGCTGAGCATCATGATGCTAGCTGTGCATCATGATGCTAGCGTTTAGCAGACAGGGTTAACGGAGCGGCCTCTTCCTGCTGCGTTATACAAAAAGAGATTTGCCCAGAGCAAAAAGTGACTCATCACCCATCTGTCCTCTCTGTCTCCACTCTGACATGAAATCTGATGAGTTAGATTAAGAAACAGCAGATGGATGCTGCATGTGAAGTGCCTGTTTGGCACGGCGGAAAGCAGAGCTAATGGCAGAATAAGTAGAGCTGCTCTGCTGTTTTGCTCCTCCTCACATGCGCTCAGTATTTCACACAGTAATGAGGAGGTTTATCTCTGTCCTCCACCACATTTACTACTTCCTCCCTCCTTCTTGATTCCTCTCTGGATTCGTATGTTTTGTTCTCTGCTTCGTCTTGCTATTGAGCTTTTTGCAGCTTTTTCCAGGAGGAATCGCCCGGCTGCGTATTCTCGCTTCCTGCACCACAAAAACATCCACAGTTTTCATATCTGTGGTCTTTTCCATATTTTGTTTCCCTGCAAACTAAAACTTCACTGTATTTTTACGTTGTTCCTAATTTTGGGTTTGGAGCTTTTTAGCAACACTCGACAATGAAGGAACAGAAATAAATGATACTAGCATTAAAATGTAGAAAAAGATAAATAATGTTCATGTATTTTGATTATGTAACTTTGAATCAAAAGATTACTTTAGATTACGAGAAATTATATGTTGATATTGATGAGTAGATAATGATTATCGTTAAACAGGTCCTAAAACTTTCGGGACGGTTCAGTAAACAGATTGTTTATGTTCAGCTGCAGGATGAAACCGACTCTTCAAAAATACGTTTAAATCAAACTTGCAGCTGATTTCATGTTGGAAAAACGAGTTTGGATCTCAGTATTGGAATTATGCTGCATTGAAAGAACTGGTGGTGAAAACAGTTCAAAAACATACTTTCTGACTCAGTTCAAGAAGTTTTTTTTTAAACAACAGCAGATTGAATAAAATAATTTCTCCCTCTTTGATTTGTGTTATGCAAATTAAACATGTCCTCTGGATTATTTTTTGCAAATTTCATGGAGCTTCTTCATCAGGTTGCTCTGCATGTGGATGTGAAGCCAGAAAAGAGGATTTTAGTTGCATTTAGCTGTAGGAAAAGGTCCTTAGCTAAAATATCAGCTTTATTCTTGATGTGAAGTTTTCGCCAAACACAGAAAACCGAAGAAATCTCCAGCAGCTGCCGCTGGTCTGAACAATCGTCTGTTTCTCCCTCTTCGCTCTCCTACATGACATTCCTTCTCTAACAAAGCAACGCTCTGATCTCCAGGGACGGGTCCGACTCGCCCCGATTGACTCTCAGACGCTCAGATCGTTGTCCATGTTTGACGCTGATGGGGAGAAATGTTCCCATGCAGCTTTAGTTTTATGTCCTCCATGTTCCCTGAGAAATGGGCAAAAATCAGACATTCAGCCGGATTATGTAACTTAAATAACAGAAATGTGCCAGATTGTTTTTTATTTAGAGGAAGAAAGTGACTAAAATTAGACCCAGAAACATCTCTTTCAGTTGTGTTTTCTTTTGGTTGATGGTTGAGGAAGATGAAGCCAGAAAAACACTATGATGCACCTTAAAGTGGACATATCTGACTTTTAAATCTTTGCTTCACATGTTTGAATCAGTCGGTTGTGGTCTAAGTGGAACTGCTTTGCTCTGACTTCCTCTTTACTCTGTTCTGAGAGCATCTTGACTTGGTGCTGTCTCTTTAAATGCAAATGAGGCGCTTCAATTGTCTCTTTAAATGCAAATGAGGCGCTTCAAAGCCCGCCCCCTGCAGGTTTCAGAGCGGTCCTCTGATCGTTGTCTGTTTGGACATTTCTGTAGTTTAACTGCAGTCAGCAATGGAGTAAATTTCTGCCAAAAACACAAAATGTTGTGTTAATCTGAGAAAATGTGACTAAAATTTGAATGTTTTGGCTGATTTTTTTCATCCACAATGTCCCTAATGTGCCGTCATAGACATGATTATTTCGCAACGGAGAAACTTTTCTTCCCAAATTGAATTGAAACATCTTGTAAACATAGCTAGCCAGCTAGCTATCAGCTGGCTAGCTAGCTATCAACTAGCTATCAGCTAGTTAGCGTCAAAACGTCACTGACCAGATTTGGATCATGATTTACCCTTCAAACAAACATCAAAAACCGTAACAATCTACTTTTGTAATAACACTGTTCAACACCCGCAGTACGATTCCATCTACCACAAGCTAACAGCTAGCACGTAGCACTAGCGTTAGCAGGACACACAATTTGCTAGCGAAACAATGATGTCATCACAACATGCAATAAAATTATGTCTAAAGTAAGATGTTTTTTTTTTCATTTTAATGTGTTTTGCAGTTTTTCCTCAGATATAACTTAGTTTATCTAAATCCTTTGTGATGCTAGCAGCAGTAGCTAAAGGAAATACGCTGCGTAAACAAACAGGCCTTTCTCTGCTGATTAAAATAAAATCTAACCAGGAAATTCAAAGTGGTTCTGATCCATGTGTGGGTTAATAAACTCAGCAACCCAACATTTTCACTTATGTTGTTTTGGCATTCCTACAAAATCACTGTGGATTCATGAAGCTGATTAGCTTAAAATTTAACAGTTCAAAAAACTTAATGGCTTCAAAAATATGACTGATTTTACTTTTATATACTCGAAGTACATAAGCAAATGTATTTAAGGGCTAAAAAAGGGTATTTTTCTTCCACTGAACTTTCCTGCTCACCTGCTGAACGTTTCACCCACAGGGAAAAGAGAACAAACTCTTGTTACGGTTCATGTTCTCTGCATGCTTGCCTCAGCGTTTATGTGTTTGTGGACAAACAAAATGTTTCACCGCTGATGATTTGTCAGCAAGTCACCTTTAGACAGACGTTGGGCTACATCCTCATTAATCTCGTCTCATAGCAATTAATGTCTAATTAATGTTCTGTAGATGCTCCCGTGTGTGCATGTGTGTTTCCCTTTACATTGGGAGGTGTGTGAGGTTAATGGGAAGAGCTTCACAGGATGTTAAAGATCTTCCCTGACATTATGCTGACATTCGGAGGCGTAAACATAAACACTGGATCATCTCACGTCAGACACTCAGCTCTGTGAAAGGGAGTCTTCATGGGATTTCTTCTTCTTCTGCTCCCTGCGTGCAGGTGAACTTCGTGGCGTGTCAGCTGTTCGCTCTGCTCATGGCTGTGTGGTTCCGGCTCTACCTCCATCCCAGTAAAACCAGTCCCTTCATCAGGCACGTGGTGGCCACCCTCCTGGGCCTGTACTTGGCTCTGTTCTGCTTTGGCTGGTAAGGTGCCAACATGTTTATCCTGCTTTTTCATGAAAAATATGCACAAAAACTTTGTCTGTCATCTACTAATGTTGAAAATTTTTTAATTTCTGTGTTTCCATTACACAAGAAAATGGAACTATGGATTAAAATCACGTGAAAAAGTTTGTACATGTGATAAATCATTTAAAAACATGCAGCTCCACGATCCTCCTACCACTTCCTGTCGTTTTCTTTGGCGTCTCTGCCAGTAGTAACATTCAGTAGCTCAATTGTTTTTCCACGCAATTTTAAGAAATTGATAATATTTTCTCTGATATTACGACTTTATTATAATATTGTGTAATTTAATTATAGATTTTCTTTCTTCCTCCTCCTTAAAGCAACAGTATCATGTAAAACTGACCTATTTCAGCTTCATATTGTCTTATAATGTTATTCCTTCCTCAAGTTCATACTTGGGGTTTTGCCTTGATGATAATAAATGTTTGTTTCTTTTTTCTAGAAAAGCACGTATAAAGTTAGAGAATAGAAAAGAATGAATCATAGGGATGAATTTTTAGCTGAAATAAATTCAGATTTCTCTCCTGTTCTCTGACTGCCTGGACCCTGCTGCATTACTCAGTAATTATTGATATATTTGTGTGATATTTATCTTGTCTTTAAAGGTATTCAGTCCATTTTTTGGTGCAGAGCGGCCTCTCTTACGGGGTGATGATCTTTGCCAGCTTGGAGCACATGCACAAGTAAGACATTTTTCAGTGGAGCGTTTTATTTTCTGGTTCTTTCTCCAGGATCTGCAGGAACTTTTAAACAAACTGTTGCGCAGGTTTGACTTTATTTTGTCCAGTCCAACGTTAGAAGTAAACCACATAAACGCCCCTCATAGAGCTTCAGCTGAGTGTTACTAACAGAGTTAGCATCACTTTTAGCAAAGCAGGCGACAGAACTCACCAGAACTCAATTATTTGTTCTGATTTTGTGATTTTTTAAAAATTACATTCTTGTCATTTTCCCATCAAAACAGCCCACATCATGATACTTCCACCGCCTATTAGTCTATGGTAATGCCATGGTCTGGTATCCTGGTTCCCATTCTTAGCTGATGACCTTGACTCATTGGGGTCACCACAGAAATTATAGCAAATTTATCTTATTGTTTACCGTTTATTGTGAAAATTTTCTCATCATATTTTTTATTTATCTTTATGTTAAATTTCAGTTATTTATATTAAATTAGAAAAATTGACAGTATGATCTGAAATTTTCGTCATTTTCTCCAGTGTTTGTTTCGTGGCAGCATCAATAAATTAAAAAAATGGGATTAAATACAGTTACTGTGCATTTAATAACCAAACCGGGTCCAGTGGTAAAGGCCCTGAACTCTCTCACATGTCGCTGTTTGCTGAGGTTACTGAACCTTTCAGGTCTTTGCATAACAAATGAGTTTCTGACCCGGCCAGGTTCAGGTTGGGAGCCCATGGCTTTCTGAGCGATTGACCTATGACCTTTGCTCTTGGAGCTTGACCTTACATGGTTACACCGGAAAGAGCGATTAGCATAACTGGAGGAAAACATAAATTTTGCTCCTTCACAGTTCGGTCTGATGGAAATTTTCTCTGTTTGACTGATTGAGCAAAGAAGTTGCAGCAAAGCAAAGAGCGCCGCCGACACCCAGGCGGAAAATCCAGTCAACACAAATATCCTTTCTGGTCCCACAGAGGAGAAATTCAGCAGCAAAGTGATGAAAAAAAAACATCCAGATGCACAGAAAAATAAGAATGAAAGACTCCAGCAACTTTTCGTTAAGTTTCCTACAAAACCAGTCGCAAACATTGAATTGATTGATGCTAACTCCTAATTTAAAAACATGTAATTTATAAAAATTAAAACAGAAACAGTCCGATTTGGGGAAAATGAAACAACATTTAGACAATAAAAACAGATTTTATAGAGCCCTAGTTCAGTTGTGCAAAACTCCTGAGTGAACCTTGACCCGCCTTTGAGGCGCGGCTCCTCCCCCTCTCAGGTCCTTCAGACTAGCCAGCCGCAATCAGCAAACATTTGAAGTATCTCATTATAGGAGCTGCGACTCAGAGAGTAAAACGTTGTTAAAGGGTTAATAGAGGAGCCATGTTGTAATGGAGGCGGAGCCTCTGAAAGAGCAGGAGTGTCTTAAAGTGACAAAGGCCCAATTTCAAGGCATTAAAAGTCAAAGTCCTTTAACATAGCTGTTTGATTGTGCTGCAAAATGGCCGCCCTGTGCCTGGAACATGTTTAATACTGGCCCTTTCATATGTGACTGTATTTGCAATACTTAATACGTCTCTGTTGTCTCTCTGTGTCTCCAGGTACTGCTTCATCGTCACCCTCGGTTACCTGATCCTCTGTCAGATCACAAGAGTCTACGTGTTCGACTACGGCATGTACTCTGCAGATTTCACTGGGTGAGCTTCTCTAGCGCCGCACGTTGTAAATAAAATCTTTACATGAAACATCCTGAATGATGCTGGAAGCGCCGAGTCGGTTCCTTCTCCGCTGGTCGGCCTGCAGGTTGGAGGAGGCTGGCTGCTAAGCAACGTAACGCAAACCCAAACGGCCGTCCGTCTGTTTGGCTTCAAAATGTCAAATCAAATATGCTTCTCTGAACCGAACGCCTCCGTTTGGTCATTCATTATGCGTGGATTTATTCTGCTGATCCCAGCAAGAAGCAGCAGAGAGATGACGAGTCAAGAGGAAGATCAGCAGGAAGGAAGAGAAACAGGAAGTTAAAAATGCCCCTAATTATCCAGGAGGGAACTTCCCATTGTAAGAATACCGAGGCAGCTGATTCTGTTGCTGCTATTACTGGGCTAATTGGTATCTTGGTGGACGGCAAAACAAAACAAAATGAAAGTAAAAGGAAAGCTTTTATTAGCTGAAATGACAAACACCTGGAAAATGCATCATTTTGAGCAGAAATATTTAAGCTTTAATTTATTTTACTGGGATTTTAAGTGGTGAAGAGACAGAAAGTCGTGCATAAATCAAAATACTTATGTCACTGAAATTGGATTAAAAATGTGTCTAAACTGTTCAATGGTCATAATGTTTCCCATTTAATTGAATTTATTTCTGCTTTATGCTGAATAAAACATAAATAAATGTTATAAATGTTGTTTGCTTTCAGGCCCATGATGGTCATAACCCAGAAGATCACCAGCATGGCGTTTGAAATCCATGACGGTAAGATGCGCGCAGCTTCCTGCTGACACTAACGCGCCAGATGAGGCAGAAGTGAAAGTGCCACTTTGATTCTCTGAGGAGTTAGAAAATAAAACGTTTTTTTTTAGAAGGATCGATCGGCCGACCAGTGGAGCAGAAAGAGAGACAGGCGCCGCTATGTAATGGGTTTATAGCCAGCAGTTTCCTCAGGTCACAGATTGAGATCAGGCTTTAAACTAGGAGTCGATTAAAATGTTTGGAATTAATTAATTGCATTTTAATTGAGAAAATAAGCAATTCATTAAATTCAAAAACCTCTTTTTGTTGCTAAATTACTGAATAAACAGACAAATGAGCTCAACAACCGAGATATTTATTGTTTTTATTCTGTAAATCAGATTGTTTCAGATGTTAGCATTAGCATTGGGGACGTTAGGTTAGCTGCTACCTGGTTAGCATTGAGATGCAACTACAGACTTGAAAGCTTCACTGATAGGCTAACTCCTTTTAGCACAACGTTAACACAACAGTAGTCTATAGTCTAATCAGGTGAGTTTCTGCAGCAGAAATGAGCCGAGAGGAGCGCTAACATCGCTGCTGTTAGCATGTGTAGCTTGTGCGGCAGATTTACAGACGTACCAGAAACAAATTCAAAGGTTCCAGTTGGGAGTTTTCTATGAAAAAAGAAAAGTTCATTGTGTTAAAATCTCAGTAGTTAATTAATCAAAATTAACTCAGTAGAGTCCCAAACCTTAATTTTATCATTCTTTTTCCAGTTTTTTACAGTCATTGCTTTAATTTCTCTTTAAGTCATGTATAAAGTGAAACTCCTCTTCAGGTTTGGTGAATGTCAGCCTTAATGAAGCTGCCAGTTTCCAACAACAGAACAATCTCCGGAGGTCATGACCTTTAGCTCATGTTTATGTTGCTCCGCCATCATGGCTGCCCTCTGAATCCTGAACAATTCGACTGTTAAACCTGAATGTGCTTCACAGCGTGCATCATGGCTGGTGTGTGTGTGTGTGTGTGTGTGTGTGTGTGTGTGTGTGTGTGTGTGTGTGTGTGTGTGTGTGTGTGTGTGTGCGCGTGCGTGTGTGTGTGTGTGTGTGTGTGTCCAGGTTTGTCGAAGCGCAGAGAAGGACAGCTGACTCCCAGTCAGAAATACCTAGCTATCAGGTATGTGACTAAGGTATGTTTTAAAGCTCAGACAGTTGAATTCAACATCTTGTTTTCTGTTCTTTAGCGTGTGAGCCTGCTCTATGGTGGTGTTTTAATCAAGGCGTTATCGCCGGTTGCTGCCGGTGAATCGTTTTATGGGAATGCCTGTAATCCCTCATCCTTCCTGCTTTGTTTTCCCTCTCAAATCTTCTCTGATGGAGATGAAAGGTTGCTGCAACAAAGCCGCTCACGCTACGAGGCGGGACTTCCTTTATTACCAGGAATACTCAACCAGAGCTGCAGTGAAACGGCTCAGATCAAAACATGGCCTAGTCAAAGTTGAGACCTAAATTCCATTAAAGAGGCAGTATTATGTGTTTAATCAAGTAACTATGTTTCGGTTGTTTTAAAAGTGTTGTGTACATCAAATATGACAAAAATAAATTTGACTTTGTAATTTAACACCCTGAAATTGGACATTTACCTCTTTAAGAACTTCCTGTTCTTTCGTAAACTCTGCCTTCGGGAAGTCATGACAACATGGCTCCTCTAATAACCCTTTAACAACGTTTGTACCAAAGAAGTGGCTCATATTATGAGCTTGGTATTTGTGCAGTTCCAGCAGGTGTTTGCTAATAGCTGCTGGCTAGTCTGAAGGAGCTGCTGTGTGAGGTGGAAACTGCAGCTCTGGAGCTGCATCTTGAAGGCGGAGCTAGGTCCAACCAAGCATTTTTCATGGAGATAAAGGAGATACAGGATTTCTCAAACTTGCATGAAAGAATCAAAGCAAAACTCCGTGCTTGTTTTTTATAAGTAAAAAACTTGACCTAAATCTGAAGAAAGGTGATTTAACATAATACCAGCCCTTTAAGAATTTGTGGTGACATTTAAAACTTGATGTTCAGAAACGATCTGTACTGCAGAAAACCTTCAGCAAACAGGAAGTTTTATGTGGGATTAGTTCAGATTTTGTGTTTCTCTGTCGCTTCACATCCTGATAACGAGCGTCTCCTGTTCTGCTCAGCCGGATGCCCAGCTTGCTGGAGTACCTGAGCTACAACTGCAACTTCATGGGCATCCTGGCGGGGCCCACCTGCTCCTACAACGACTATATGGCCTTCATGGAGGGGACGTCGTACCAGCGCCGGCACCAGGAGAACGCCAACGGCAAGGAGAACGGGAAGGCCAAGCAGGCTGAGCCTTCGCCAAAGGTACCAGTCGGATCCAGATCGGCACACCTTAAATCAGCTCAAATCACTCAAACAGAAAAGGCTGCCAAACTAAACAGTCATTAAATATGAAACTTTGAGGCATTTTTTAGAGCAAAGGTTTAAATAAAACATAAGAATTCAAGCAGAGCTTCAATTATCAGCATTTCTATCATTTCTTCTACTTTGATTTGCCAGTTTTACAAAAATACAAGAAAAAATATTTTTCAGGAACTTCTTAAAGAGACAGAGGCCCAATTTCAAGGCGTTAAATTGTGGCATATTTGATATGTATAGCATCTTTACATGAACTGAAGGTAATTGCTTAATTTTAATGTGCCTGGAAAATAAATTTGTTGCCCTTTAATATGCTGCATTCACTGACTGCTAACAGGTCAGTTTCTATCCTGATTCCATGGACCATCTCTGCAGGAACAACAGTTTGATGAATGCAAGTTTGCATTTTTTCACTTTCAGAAGAATGCTTTATGAATAACTGCTTTGGTTCTTTAGAAGTGGCCTATTGTTTTTCATTGAACTGGTCAGCATAGACCTACGGCCTATACAAAACACCTTCAATAAAACGGTTCTCAGATGATGACATGTCAGCTGTTAGAGCGGTACAACCAGCGGAGCTGCTTTGGTTGCTAGATAACGGTCACTAGGTCAGTGGCTGTAGATTTGTGACGTTACAATCAGACCAAAAAACTTGAACTATTGCCAAAACATGGCTGGGTGGTTTTTTTGTTTGTTTTAGAAGCAGTAAAAACCCAAAATGGACGTATGAAACCGTGCAAAATGTAAATTTTACAGAAACGGTTCCCTTTAAGACCAACAGTCTTAATGTTGAGATTTTGCTTAAAATGAATGTTTTTAAGCAAAGGTATGTTTTTAATGAGGGAATAATAACAAGAGATAAAACTTAAACCTTTTACATGTTTAAAATGTTTAAGTTTCAAATTAAAAGTCCTGTTTGTAGGTCAATAAGTTTGTTTCTAAAAACTGAATGTTTTTGTCTCATAAATCCAAGAATCCTTTGGAAATGTCCTCATCTAAAATAACCGACCTGTGAATGAGAAGCCTCAGTCGTCCTCCAGCCGATCCATAACGGCTCATAACGAGATAAACAATGTGTTTTTATTCTTCCTTCCATGTCCTGCCAGCGCGCCGTGGTGTCCAAGCTGTGCACCTGCGCCATCTCTTTGACCACCTACCTGTCTCTGTACCGGCTGCTCCCGGTTGACTACTCCATAGACGAGCACTTCGTCAACACCACGCCGTTCCACCTGCAGGTCGTCTACCTTTACCTGGCCATGCTGGCTCTCAGGCCAAAGTACTACTTTGTGTGGACTCTCGGTGAGAAAACCTGAATCTTTCACAGTAATAATGTCTGTTTTGTGTAATTAGGCAATAAGCACTAAATCAATTAATTGCATGGTAAATTAAAACAAGGTAAATAATTTCCATTTGCAAGATTTATCTTTTGTTTTCTTTTCTCCCGTTCTACCAAAGTTTGGTGTTTTGATCTCAGCTGACCTTTTTTGAAGGATACCTTTGTAACCCTAACCCTACACCAAAGTAGTTCTCGGGACAAGGGCACTTTTTCTGAATGCGAAGCTTTTAACAATTTTCTTTTCAATCCTTCACGGATTGAGAACCAAACCTCCCCAGCTGGGGAGGTTTGCTCTTTGGAGACAATTGTCTCCAAAGAGACAAGTGTTTGAATTCAAAGACTGCATTTGAAGAGAGTTCCCATGAAGACAGCGTTTATCTTAGGAATGATTTCTCTGATCTCTGTTTTAGCTGTTTTAGCTCCTTGGCTCTGATGCTGTTGCCCCAACAGGTGGCGCTCTCAACAACAGATTTATAGAACATCTGCAGCATCTTTGAGGACCTTAGCTTCCTCCAGAAGTCCAGTCTGCTCTGTCTCTTCTCATAGACGCTTTACTGTTGTGTGTTATATTCCTCAACCACCTCCAATTCTTCGATCTAATCCTGATCCTCCTGACATCATTTGATGGGCCTTTTCTTCCTTTCTACCAAAACTGAATGATAAAAGTCTCCAGTCTGGTGTTTTGGTCACATTTGTTTACAGAAGCTTATGATTCATTTAACTGGTTGTTTTACTTATTTACTTTGGATATTTAAAATGTCTTCCAGTTCTTGTGTTAAATACTCATTAGAATTTAAAGTTTATTGAGAATGTGTTCTTGCATTATTATGCCATCAAATCAAAAATATAATTTATTAAAAAAAACAATAAACTCCCTGACCTCCAGAATTAAAAAGTATTTTTATGTGAAATCATTTCCCAGTGCAACATTGCCATCTAGTGTTCATATGCGAACTGCACCCTGTTGGATTTCATGAGGAATCTCCTGCATCTGTTTATTTGTCTGCAGCCGATGCCATCAACAACGCAGCCGGGTTTGGCTTCAACGGCTACGACGCAGACGGCTCGCCGCGCTGGGATCTGATTTCCAACCTCAGGATTCTGGATATCGAGGTTCGGCTGCGTCGTTCGTTTATCTTTTGGATTTATTTGCCATCTGATTCCTGAAGTTTTATTGTTTCCTTTCAGTTTGCCACAAGTTTTAAGCTCTTTCTAGACAACTGGAACATTCAGACAGCTCAGTGGCTCAAAAGGTAATTGAGGATTGTGTTCATGTACTTGTTTAATGATGCATTTTAGGTCTGTATATATAATTTTGAAAAATAATCTCCCTTTCATTAAAATTTTTAAATCAAAATGAATTTATCCCCGTAAATCTTTGAGTCAAACTGTAACTTTGCTAATTAGCTTAGCCATTTCTGCTGATATTTTCAGATTTTTTTTGTGAGCCCTGAATGCACCGTGTCGTCTTCCTCAGAGTTTGCTATGAGCGTTGCCCCGTCAACCCGACGGCCGCCACCTTCCTGCTGTCGGCCATGTGGCATGGCGTCTACCCTGGCTACTACCTGACCTTCGTCACCGGCATCGGGATGACCATGGCCGCCCGCGCTGTGAGTTCACTTTCCTCCTTCAGCACCAAATTACATTTTCGCAAATCCACATCCAGGTCACTGGAAAGATGCAGTTTCCCCAAAGAAATGGAAAAAAAATCTGAAAAGTGTGGTGTGCATTTATACTTCACACGCCTGGCTCACATGACTAGACTTTTATTCCGATTTTTGTGATGGCTCTAAAGATTATCTTAACTTTCTAAGGTATTGTATGTTTTAGTCTGCTATATAAGTTCAGTCCATTTACCATTTGTATGTCTTATTATTTGGGAAGTAAAAGATTTTAGTTTTCTTTAAAAAACACAGGAAAAATGCAAAATTCATCTTTAATTTGGGGATCTAAAATAAATAACCCTTTTCTACAAAAAAATAATGTAAAAAAGTGTCCCACTGCTGTATTTGCTTCATTTTATGTTTTTCTCTTTTCTTGGTCCACGAACATTTTTGACTCGACAATTTTGTCAGAATAAAAGTCCCGGTTAGTTGGATAATTTTTCACAGAAAATTATTTGTTCAAATCTCTGCAGTGACGTTTTTTTTTTAGCTAAGTCTGCTTTAAAATAATTTACTGAATAAGTGTTTTCAAACTATGTTTTTCCAGTTGCTGAAATTTTTAAAATAAGTTTTGGATCTATAATATTTTACATGCCAAGAACAAACATGGCTCTGTTTTTAGTTTTTTTAAGCTTTGCTAGTGTAGTTTCTAGTAAAATAAATAATTTTCCTTTAATAAGGCAAAAGTGCAAAATCCATTTTTGAGTTTGGATCCTCTGAATTTATTTTGGTTTTCTTGCTGTATTGTTGTCTTTTTTTAGTTTCCCTTTTGTACAAATAAAAACATCAGATTACTTTATTTGCTAGATTTTTATTTATTTTTGTGGTATGAAACCTCTGACCTGGAAAAGGCTGACCCAGTTACTGCATAAAACTAATGATCCTGCTGTCTGATGCCTGAGAAATCTCAGACATAGAAACGGAGAAGCTCCTTTAATGAGCAGACATGTTTGGGTTTGTCAAACCGGGTCGTTTATCTCGTTTGCTGTACTTTACTAGGAACTGAATGAATGCAATTTAAAGTTTTAAAAATGCTCCTCTCCTTTAGGTACGGCACAACATCAGACCGTACTTCTTGGTCTCCGACTCGCACAAGCGCGTCTATGATGTCATCACGTGGGCGAGCACGCAGGTTGCCATTAGTTACACGGTGGTGCCATTCGTCTTGCTGGCTGTTGGACCCTCGCTAAAGTTTTACACGTATGTGTTGTTTTAACCGCTAACCTCTGCTGGGAGCCTGCAATGGTTAACAAGACAGATTAATGGGAGGAAATAAAACGGGCCGAGTCGGTGCTGGGACATAAAGACCCAGTCGTCACACAGAAAGGAGGTTAACCCTTGAGCCAACTCTTTGGGGTTAACCTTCGCCCTCCTCCTTGGCACATCATTCATGAAATGGTTGAAATATTTCACAGAGAAACGGGAAAACATCATCAGCTCCGACTGATTCCTTGTTTATAGATTCAGTGAATTGAATTATTATTAGAACCTTTTCAGGAATAAAATGTGTTCAATATATGAAACACAGGTTTCTGAATGCCTCATCAATCACAGACTATAACTTGACATCGAGTAATACAGAGGCAGCAGAGTGAGAAATACTGCCACCTGCAGGTGGGAGTTAGCATCACTTGAACACAATGTTTCTTATTGACCATTTTTGCACGATTGTGGAATCAAAAACTGTCGGTAACCTGTGATAATCTATAGATTTAGTTAAAATGCCATTCATGATGCAGTTTTTTGTCCTTGCAGCTCGTGGTACTTTTGCTTGCACCTCCTGTGTTTCCTCGTGGTTCTGGTTCTGCCGGTCAAATCGAGACGCCAGCAGGCCAGAGCGAAGGAAGACGCTGCGCTGGACGAGCAGCGCGACCACAGCAGCACAGACAACAACTGCAACCGAAAAGACAAATGCACATGAGACCGCCGCCATGTCACAAGCCAAACTGGACCGGGCCGGGTCCCATTACCTAACCAAGAACCCAAAAAAACACACTGAGGAAAAAAACACAGAACTTCTAGTAGCAACATGGAGGACAGCCGTCGCTCTGCTGACGAGGATTAAAGACCAACAGGAAGTAATCTGGTGACTTTAGTGCTGCCTTAAACCCTCTGTGTACTCTACAGGTAAGGACATAGGAGGGGGCGGAGCTTCTCAGGGCAGACAGGAAGTATGTGGAGGGTTTTTGTCATTGGAACAGGAAGTTCGTCATTTTCAAAGGAAAACTTTATCAGCTGCCAATTTTGAACAGGCCTTATGATCTTTGAATGGTTTCATTTCTTCATTTTTTTAATCTTTGGAAGAGTTCATGTTGTGCGTTTCATATTTAGCTGATTGTGACGACACTATTTGAAATACATTCTTAATGTTTCTTCTTTGTGGGAAAATTTGGCTGTAAAACGACAGAGAGAATCGAATCTTCTGTCCCAGATTTCTGTTTGGTTTTTCTGTTGTTGGGATCCATGAATTTGACAAACAGTTAAAGGGAGTTTTGATTTGCTCACAACAAGCTTCTGTTTTTTTTTCCAAACACACATTTTCTCACATATTTGAAAAGTTACAGCCTCAAACTAAAATGGGTTTAATTGGATTTTTTATATGTTGAATAAACAAACACAAAGTAATGCCTAATTGTGAAGTGGAAAAAACTCATACGTGTTTTTTTAATCAGTTTTTTATTTATTATGTATTGAGTCATTGCAGATAAGAAACTTCTAGATTAATTTTACGTATTTACTAGAAAAATCTCGTTTTGTTGTGAAGTTGTACATTTCCAGGGGGAAATGATAATTTTTCATAATTAAAGGCATAAAGTTACACCTTTAAAAGTGAACTGGAACAGCAGGCAGTTTGTAACAGGTTCCCAGCCCAACGAGCTCAGGTTTGATCGGGTTCGCTACATCAGAACATCTTGTGGGTTCAGATTCAATGCAGTTGTGTTGCAGCTTCTTCCTCTCCAGGTGTTCACGGTGATTCTGGACCTGGAAAATATCGAGCTGCACAGGCAAAGAGCCCCGATGTACCACTTAGCTTTCTGGGTCGGGCTTGAAAAAACAGCCTGCTGCTCTAGTTTAGTTCTAAAATCAGACATTTTAGGACTTTAATCATAGAAAATAATCCTTTTTTTCTCACAAAGTTGCAACTTTCTAACATCAAAGAAAAAACAAGTTTTTTAATTTTGCTTAAGTTAAATTAATGACATGACTTCCTCCCTTTATTTTTTATTCCTAATCCTTTGTTGTATTATTCTGCCTGCCTGAGTCAGTAATTCACTTTTGTTGTGACTTTACCTTGAACATCTATAAACTCAAACTGTTCTTTAACTCATGCCCCAGATTCTCAATACCAGTTAGTTTTGGACTTTGACTAGGCCATTCCAACACACGATCTTCATTGGATGCTCTCCTTGTTTGGTTTAACACTTTAAGAAACAACGTCTTGGCAGGTTTACAGTTTATTCCACTTCACAGTTATTCACTACTTTATGTTGCTCCATCAAAGGAAATCCCTTTAAAATAACTCGAGTTTCTAAATGTAACATGATGAAATGTATAAAAATGTTCAAGTTTAACTATGTTATTTCCATCACTCTTTTGATTAAGTGTTTAGCTTTTTATCTTAAAAGTCTAACCGCAGTCTAATTGGATTAATGCATTGGCGTGCTAAATGCATAAATCTCTGAGGAAATGTGATATGTTTTATAAATCGTGATATAACCTCTGGAGTCCAGAGCCAGTCGGTGCCATGAATGGTTTTATTTTTATATTGTGAGCATCTAATGTGAGCATTTTACTGTAGAGTGAGACACTGTTTCCTTTTGCTGTTTTTTCTGCATCGTTCATCTGAAGCCTTCCAGATTTCTGATCTGATGTTGGTTCTGTTTCAAGAGGTATTTCTGTTAATATAAAATAGATTGAAACAGATGGTTCCTGTTATTCTTCGTTAAAGTTACTGATTATTTAAAAAGCAACAAAGCAGCAGAAGTGAAGTCTTTCAGTGTGGATCTGTTTATGGGGTTTTTTTCTCTAACATTTCCATATTTCTGCCATAACTCTGTGTGTTTACCATTCTTGTGGTGTCTTGATGTTGATTGTGATTTTAAAGGAACCCATGTTCTGTAGCGCGGCCCACCGGCGAGAGGAGAGACACCGTCACTACAAACGCAGCGGCTGCAGCGCTGCAGCACTGCATGGCCACACATACCAGCAGATCAATGCAAACGGCTCCGGACGTCCAAAGTGCCAAATCAGAAACGGCGCATCTTGTTTTAGAGAGTGTGTGTGTAGAAGTGCGTGTGTGTGTGCGCGTGCGCCAGACTAACATAATGGGTATTTTTGTGTCAGAAAGAAATTTATCAAACTATTTGTATAACAGTGGAGTACATTCTGATGTGGCGAAATAAAGAGAAATTATTTTTAAACACTAATCCTGTTGGATGTGGAAATGTTTTTCTTTTTTTGTCTAGTGAGTAAAAATATCAGTTTTTAACTAGACATGCATCCATCTTTTGTTCAAAATGTCCATTAAAAACAGGCTATTTACAATATACAAAAATAAAACGTAAATTTTAGCAGCAGTGTCTTCTGTTACATCTAAAACTTCTCATTTGACATTTTGTGTTTGAAAAGTTTTCTCAAACTTTGAGATCCAATGCAGCTGTTGGAGAACCAGAGCAAAGCTAAAAAAATGAAGTTAAGAAAAAAGTTTAACTACATTTGTAAATATCAGGAAAAAAGTCATAATTCCAGAATTTAGTTTATTTTCAAAATAAGGTCATATATTTGGAAAAGGAGGTCATGAGAATCCTCCAGTATTAATAATTAAATTAAATTCAGTTTATTTACCGATATGTACCACCAGTACAAAACAAATATCTCCGGGCACTTTACAAAAAAATTAATAAAAATCCAGTCATGATGAGGCAGTCTGGTCAGAAACAGAAAATATTTAGTTTTTTTAAAGCTTTTTCTCATAATGGCACAACTTACTTCTGTTAAAATGGCATCTTTATTGTCCTAACATGAGTATTTATCTGTGTATAACTTAATTGTCATTATATTATGACTTTATTCTTGAAATAATATATTTTTTCTTAGCCTGGACCAGAAGAAGAACAATGGCTGCCTGGGCGCGGCCATGTTGGAATTCCTCCTCCTGTGTTTTTATTTTTTCATTCCTTTCATTCCTGGCTCTCCTCCGTTAGCTCGGCTGTGACGTCATGGCCAGGTCCGCGTCCCGAGGTAAACCGAAGGCAGCCGATCACCGGGTGTAGCTGCGGGGAGGTGGAGGCTCCGGAAAGCCGAAGGTTCCGCCTCTGTAAACAAAGCGAGAGGAACCAGGCGGAGCCTCCGACTCCTTTGGTTCAGTGGCAGGTTACATTTAACTCTAGTCTCCCCAAACATGTCTTGATTGAGAAGAAGTGGCGTTTAGCTGGATTCAACCGGCAGGAGTAACTGAAAGGCGGGAACTGAGCAGCAGGGTGTCGGTAAGAGAACCGTAGTTTGGTGAGTTTAGTTGCTTTTAAAACTCATTAAATATTAAAAACAGTTGTAACCTGTTGGACAGCTAGCTTCTCCTCCACTTTACTGTCACTTTTAGTTGTGACTTCCTGCTCCAGAAACAGCGGGGTGACCACCGTGTCTGTAACACCCCCTGTCCCAGTCGGTGGTCCGTATGTTAGCTGGCGGCCAGATGTAGCCGCTGTCAGGGAGGCAGCCGGGCTAACGCTGCTGGAAGCGCCGCACAAAGTTTCTTCAGAGTCGCTCAGCCTCCTCTGGAAACTCATTGCACCGACTTTAGTCTGTCAGTTTAGCAGCGCCGGGTTATGCGTTAATGTCCTGTTGAGGAACCGGCTTCCTCACAGCTGAACTGAGTTAAATAAATGTGATGTTTGAAGCTGTCCCGAGGAACTGAATCCTCAGCGGTTTCATGCCCGCATGACTTGCCATAAAGAGCTGACTGGTTAAATTTAGATCCCATCCACTGTTGCCTGCCCTTATTTAAGCTGAACTCAACATAATCTCAGTTTCTTCTGTTCATATTTACTGATCTGTTATATTTACACTCCAGATAAAACCTGCAACCTTGTTCCAGCCACCTTTGACTAGGCCATTCCTGTTCCTCCACATTAATATGCCTCCGTTTAAACCATCCCATAAAATCTCTCTCTGTATGTTTAGGACGGTTGTCCTGTTGGAAGATTAAATACATAAAAGCAGCTCAAAATTTTCCAGGTTTTCATTTGGGAAAACAATTTAAACAACATTATTTTTTGCTTTATGATAATCTATCAGATTAAATGTGAATGTAGATCATACATATCTATGCAGTTCTCTTTGAAACACAGATGGGAAAAATGCCCTGAGTCGATGTTTTAACATCTTGACCCTTAAGATCAAATCCAGATACAAGTTTAAAGTTCAACTTTGACAAAAACATTTTTCATTTTTGAAATCTGTTTACAGCTGATTTAGTGAGCTTCAGGTTGTCTTATTTACAGTTGACTGTGATGTAATCAAATCAATGTTTTAGCTCATTTTTCTGCTTTCTCTCAAAATGTGACTCAAGTCTGACTTTTTATAGTCGTCTGAACTTTTCACCCAGAAAAGTACAACCTGTGCCTCTTCCATATGTGGACCAAAATCCGACCGTTCTCACCGTGTCTGAACGGTCACACTGCATCTTATCTCACTGTTAAGGCGATGACTTGAGACATGCGCCATAATTCTGCACCAGAAGAAGCCAGGCGGAAAATCTGGACGTAAATAACGGCTGAAAATTATAGTCCTGAAATTCTGAAAGCAGTTTGTGACGTCAGGTTCTTCTTCTGCCGTTCACACAGAAGTTTGATTATGACTGAAGGACCAAAACCCCAAATTTCTGATATTATAAACTGGAATTCAGAATAATTTAAAAGTCGTGTTTTATCTGAATCATCTGGGGTTTAAAACTATGGTGGAAACGATTAATCGTGATTAATCAATTATTGAAATAATCGTCAACTACGTTAGGAATCGGTTAATCGTTAACTGGAGGAAACAAACTCAAAGAAATTCCAATTTTCTAAAAGAATAACATCAGTTATAAACCACAAACTGCAGAAGATATATTTCAATTAAGATGTACAACCTTCTTGGTCTGTAAATATTTTCCACCCTGAAGTCCATTTTTAGCTTCACATGGTTCAAATTCTGTAAATAAGATTTCCTACTAGTCACATTTTCCAGTTGGTGAATCTTAAATCACCCGATCGGCTGATCGCTGTGGAATCAGACAGAAAATGTGGAGCTTTTCACATTGTTGTAGCTGCAGATTCATCAAATGTTCACGAAACGTTGTTTCACTTTAGGAAACAAAATGTTTCATTCATATTGAAGTTTCCATCAATACTTTGTAGATGCTTTTTTTCTGCATGATTTCTAAATGTCTGATCAGTTGGTTTTATTGTTTTTTTCTGTCCTGTTTGGGTGGAGGCTTTATGGCCTCCTCTGCACTATTATTACTTTTTTGTATTTAATTCTATTAAATGAACAAAACTGAGCTGTCTTATTATTTAAAAAGGAATTTAATTATTTGTGTATTTGCATCCTTTGACGTATTTCTAATATTGCTTATAAACCTGCAGAATGTGCTAATTTTACTGTCTGATTAATCAACTAATTGGATAAAAATGGGCAGATTGGCTAAAATGGTCAGTAGCTGCAGTTTGGAGCGATTCTTGGACAGGATGGAGTCTCTATTGTGTGGGGAAGAGCAGGGCGTGTCTCCAGCCCCTCATCTAATATTCAGCCGCTACTTAAAGCGGGGGATGCTGAGCGTCAGCCGCCACTGCTGGTTGAACTGGGCAGGAAGTCAGATTTGATCTGGAACTGGTTGCTTTACCCCTCTACACAGGTAAGAGCTGTAATTATCTGAGATTTCATCTTGTTCAATAGTTTGAGGAGCTTGTTTGTCGTTGGCATGGTGCTGGGAGAGATGAGGAAGAGGAGGGCGTGTCAACAGGCTGCCGTAAACAAAGCCTTTTCTCTGTTTTCTGCCTGAAATCTCCACCTTTAATGTGGAAAGCAGCTGGCAGGTGATCGCTGAGTGGAGAAGAAGAGAAAACAGTTTGTTCTGCAGATAAGGATTGATCCGTTTCTGAATTTGGCTGAACTGTTGGGGCCTTTGTACCGGCGGCCATGTGACTCCGCTTGTGAGGGAGCGTTGACCTGAGCGGGATTACAGCAGAAAATCCTGCTGGTTGTTTGGTGAAACCCTCAGAATGAGGCTCATTAATTCAGATGCTGTCTGCAGGAAGTGGGTCTGATTATGGAGGACGGGCTGAACTTTATGAATCATTAATGAGCCGTTAATCGATCCAACTTCACAGAACAGGAGATTCATTAATGTATTCGGGACTCAACGTCTGAAATCTTACAATTAAAGACAATTTAAAATAAAAGCATAAAAAAAATTTTTTCATTTCTGATTTTTTTCTCTTCTGAGTTTGTAATATGTATAAAAATATACATATGGTGAAGGCACACTTGTCAGCTGTTTCTGATGGGCCACAAAGTTTTTATTTATGTTTACAATAGCAAAAAACATAAAATTTTTCTTATGTCCTGTGCAAAAAATTAGAATAGAAAATGATCTATAAAGCTTTTCAGGTAAAAATATTTTTCTAGCTTTTTTGTGTTTTTTCTGTAACAAGAACAAAATATGGATCATTTTTGCAAGTTTATTAAATCGCTGTAGCAATTTTTTTATTTAATTTTTTTTTAGAAAATAATATTTGTTGTCCTGTTTGCTGTTAAAGTAAATAAAAAGCAAAAGACGTGCTTGATTAAAGATGTTAACATTGAGGAAACACTGAAAATTGTACAGTAAAATTTTTTTACTTTTGTCTGCTTCAGCTGTTCAGTCGCTGATTTCCACAAAATTGATTCAATTATTTCACATTTTGACATTTCCATTTTTTCCTACGGTGCCCCATTAGGGACATGCAGGAACGTTTCCTTTAGCGTTTCCTCGCAGTCATGTACGAGTCAGTTGCTGCTTGAACACTGAAGGTCTTTCTGCTTTTCCATGTATGTTCATATCTTCTTAGTGAGATGTCTAAAGTTTTATATCTTTTTCTATAAATGCAAAAGCAAAACAGGTCAGACATGGGCTTCCATACCATCTTAGACGTAAACAGAAACTTTCCATAAGAAGGAAAAAAAAATGCATTCAAACTTTTTAAAACTACTTTTTCAAAGGATAATAAACTCATCTAATATTTCTGACTATCTTTTTAGGAAGGAGGAAAAGTTTCTACTGAAACCCACTGATGATTAGATGATTGTTTTTCTTCTCCTGGTTTAGTTAAAGACTCGTCAGCTGCTGCAGATGAAATCCCTGAAGCGAGCTTTGTGTTTTTATTCTCAGTAATAATCCTGTTGCTAC